GTCATGGGCGTTTATGTCTGCTGAATGCACTATAAGATCACGGTATGTGCTTCTTCTAACATCAATTTTCTTAATTATTTGATAGAATAAAATAGATAGTATGTTACTACTGAAAAACCCTTCCCATTTGATTTGGGGGCAAAAATAAGGAAGTGTTAAATTATAGTTGATTTCCAATTTTGCCCCTGATGTGATGGGTAAAAGTAAGATGTGATGGATAGATTATTAGAGAAAAAGTATGATGTGATAGGTAGGGTAGGAAAAAGTAAGGGTAAAAGTGGTTTTTTAATAGAAAGGGGAAGTGTTTTGTTGGAAGTAGAAAAAATGAAAGAGGAAGTGTTTTTGAGAACGGAGAGAGTACTTGTTTTGAAAGTTTTGAATTAGTTTTAAAATATATAAGTTCTACTCTTAGTTTCTATAATTTAAACAAATAATGTTTTTAAAGCAGATGTAATTTCACGCACTTTTCGAAACAGGACAATAAATAAGTAATTAGTATTATAATTACTTTAATAATAATATTAGTTATAATAATAATAAATACTCCATCCGTCCCCGAAAACATTTCCCATTTTGACTTTTTTCGGTCAAACAGTGACACTTTTTGACCATAAATTAAACATAATATAAATAAAGAAATGCTATAAAAATTTTATATATCAAAACTATATTTGTAATAAGAATCCAAATATATTAAATTTATATTATAATTCAATATATTTTTTCTCACAATTTGTAGTTAAAATGTATCATTGTTTGACCGAAAAAAATCAAAATGGGAAGTGTTTTCTGGGACGGATGGAGTATTATTTAATGATATGTAACATTATTACTAAAATGTAAAAAAATTGTACATAACATTATAATAACAATTACTTAATTATTATTAATACTTAATTATATATAAAATTATAATGATAATTATTATTAAATTATATGCACCACTAAATAATGTTACAATAGCTTAAAATTAACTATAAAAGTATTAAGGAAAGTTCTAAGTTCTCTAGCTATACCAATAATCAATTTATGAGCATGGGCAGCGGCATGTAATACTGTAAGGCCTGCAACCTTATCATATAAACTCCTTAGCGGCGAGGTAAGGGAGAGGTGCCCTGCCTGTGGAGCCATGCGCGAGGCACCTTACTTTTTTGTTTTGGTACAAGAAATATTATTTTAAAAAAATGTACTCCCTCCGTCCCAGAAAGAATTTTTAATTTTGATTAACGTGCAAAACCCCGTAGATTTTAAAATGATTTTATTTGAAAATTGGTATGGAAATAACACATAAAAAAATTATATTTAAAAACTACATCGAAAACTATACAAAATAAGAGGCGACAAGAATATTTTATTTTATCAAATTATCAATGAAAATACGCAAACAAATTGGAGTTATCGAGAGGCCGTAATAATAAACAGGAAAGACTTTTTGGGACGGAGGGAGTACATATTAATAATTATAATACATCAAAAACGTGTAAAATTGATAAAAACAATTACTTGCCATTGCATGGCATTTCACTCCTCTTATTTGCACACGCTGACTGGATGTGTTTAATTGGTTGAAATGTGTCATGTCAACATGTGACATTCCATTTCTTTACTTGTCATTGCTTATGCTCTAAGTAGTTTGACAATTTTGAACGGTAGTTGTTTCACTACGTATATCTACCACAATCTGGCATAAGAGATGTATCTGCAAAAAAATTACATTTAATAAATTTGATATTTAAAAGAATGAACCCATCCTGAGAGCTCCCTCATTACTGCTCCCTCATTACTGGACAGACAGTCACATGAGAGGCAATAAATTGAGGTTTAATGAAAAACTAGAAAGTACAAGATAGAGCATGCACCTAGTATTTGCAGAGACTATATGCTTAGCATAGTTATCTCGTAACGTAGCTGTGAGGAATTACACTCAAGTTTACCCGTTTTGATATCCCTTGCTCAACCAACTGAGCTACGCCCTCAAGCATTAAGTTGGTATTAAAGATAAGTGTAATTTTGGATTTACTTTCTTACTTTATTTTTACCTTATCATATGGAACAATATGTATGAGACTAAGTCCGTGTGGGTCACCGGGAAACCGACGTGGCAGCAGGAAGGGAAGGGGAACACCGCATGAGGGTTTGGGGAGAGCGGGTTCCCTTCCCTGTTTTTCCCATTGGCCTTCAAAGGTCATATTTCAATTTTTATCTTCTTTTGTTAAAACTAGCCGTTTGAAATTTAAAAAAATTAAAAAAATCTAACTATATAAATAGAACACTCCACTCATCTTTTTCACACACTTACCATCCATTTCTTTTAATTCTCCATACTTCATCTTCATTTTAAATACCTCTCGCCACAATGTCGTCTCCTTCATCTGATACGATGTCGGCTTGTTGTTCGATTCTTTTTCTTTTTCTTTCTCTTCTTCTTTTTTGGATGAAGTCAAAACTTGTTTCATAAACGTGATCATGGAGGTGGAATATTTTTATCCAAACATGCAAGAATTTGAAATACTTCGGTTCCAACACGAACGACAATGTTGCAACGTCATTAGAAAGGTATAAAAGTATAAATCTTACGTACCCTTCGCTTTTTAATCCTAATTAAAATTTTATTTTTCACACTTTTTTCTATAAATTATGGTATCCACACCGTAGGTGGTCACGACTGGCTTGTGGCTGATTACTTTGCAAAAAATCCAGTGTACACCGACGACTAGTTTAGACAATGCTTTTGTATGAGTCACCATCCTATCCTCCGTATTGTCGATGATTTGGCACATGCAGATCCTTTTTACTCTATAGGCAGATAGAAGATAGGGTTTAGTACCTTACAAAAGTGCACCGCAGCGATTCGACTAACGGCATAAGGGCACGTCCGCACATGCACTTGATGTTACCTTAGGATATCAAGAGAACGGGCTGTGAATGCTTGTACATGTTTACGAAATAGGTTATCAAGTTGTATAGAAATTTACAGAGACAAACTCAAAAAGACGTTCAACAATTGTTTACTACCCACGAAGTGAGATATGGGATTCTTGGCATGCTTGGCAGTATTGATTGTATGCATTGGTCATGGTATAATTATCCTAATGCATGGCCTGGTCAATTCATATGATGGGATCACAGACATCAACAATCATCCTAGAAGTTGTTGCCTCGAAAGATCTTTCGACTTGACATGCTTTCTTTGGTGTTTTAGGTTCACACAACAACCTAAACATTATCGACCAATCTCACATTTTCAACAAAATTATTCAGGGTACCAAACTTGATACTTCATTCACAATTTCGAATGGTGGATTACAAACATGGACATGATCTTGCTGACAGTATATATCCTGAGTATTCTACTATCGTATAAACAACACCGTATCCTTAGAAAAGAAAATGATTTTCCAAATACCAAGAATGGGCAAGCAAAGATATTAAACAACTATTTGGAGTTCTATGGCAAAGATAGCATATTATCAAAAATCCGACTCGTGTGTGGTCACCAAAAAAAATAAGACATGTTATGTATGCTTGTCTTACATTACATAATATCATCCTCCAAGATGAAGGGCACGCGATATGCGAATACGATCTGAATGACGTTCTTGAGAATGTCGAACCGGTGGATGATGCCCAACAAGACATGAACTCATTTGCATTACGTAACCAGAATAGCACCTCCACCTACAAATCGATTTGGTAGAGCATTTATGGATTTTCGCTCCACCAATTGCATCTGATGATTAGGTTTCTATTTTTTATTTTTTTAATATGAATTATGTTTAAATTTTTTTTGAAATATGAATTATGTACCAATATTTTTATTAATGTGTCTTAATTATTTAATGTACCAATTTTAGTATTACGTTTAATTTAATTTAAATGTATATGTTTAAATGTTGAAGTACATTTTATTTTTTTAGTTAAATTATTTAAATTTAAACAGTGTTAAAAACGATATTAAAAATTGATCCGAAGGGGAAAGAGAAAGACATTTGTCTAGAAAGGAAAGGAAATGGAAAGGGTGAAAGATGAAGGTTGGTAAAAGGGAAAAGAGGAAAATGATGAAACATTTGATGGCCTAATAATGAATAAGTATGAAATGAGAAAAGGGAAGGAACTAAATTATACTCCCTCGGTCCAATAAAAATTTTCTCATTTTATCTTTTGAGAAATTTAAAAGAGGAATATTTTTCTGTTGACATTTCAAAAATATTTTTAATGTGATGAGTAAATTATTAGTAAAAAGATATGATCTGATAGGTAAGTTAAGAATTAATAGAGGTAAAATAGGTTTTTTAATTGAAAAAAATGATCTGTGCCTTTTGTGGGATAAGGAAAAGAGAAAGGGGAATGCATTTTTAGAATGGAAGTAGTATACGAGAAATGATCCATAATGCCTTTGTTTAAGTAAAGCAAAAAGAAGGATTCTTTTTTAAAAAACAAAAAGAAGGATTGACTAATTAATTACTCCGTAATACGGGGTAAGTGTAATCCAGTTGAGGCAAAACGGTAGACTAATTCTTTATTCATTTGCCATATTAAAAAAATGAGAAATTTTATGATGTACCTAAGGTCCATCATAGATTTACATATGAAAAAAATTAAATAAAAAAATAAAAAAGATTTTTTATGTGAGAATATCTACAAAAATGATATGCACTCAAAGTGCACCATAGAAGCATTCTAAAAAAGGGCATATACATTGGAATGACTAAAGGAAAAATTGACAAAATCGTCTGGAGGGGACGAGTAATTAATTTGGTAAATAGTTGATGGGAGATATCTCTGAATAAGAGCAAAAAAGTATGAAAAAATTCTCTTTTCGTATGAGTCGAACGAAGCCATTATTTACGAATCATGAGAAAGTTCACCGGGGTTCGATTCCCAGCAAATGCAGAGACACTAGATAACTCTAATTATTAGAATGAGATGGTATGAACAGATACTACATTCGAATCAAGACAACATGAAAAAAAGAGTAAAATGTATGAAAATACTAAAATAGAAATGCTAGTATTTTATGATTGAAACTTGAATTAATTTAATTAATAAGACCCTTAATTATGTCATTTATTTAAAAATATAAGTTAGACCACACATTCACACAATAAGTATCACTAATTGCCACAACAATGTATCTAATGTCACACTACCATCTGTCGCTCATCGCCTTGCCATCAGTAACTGCTGTCACATTTTTATCTGTCGCCCATCTCATTGTCACCACATCCTCATCGACAACTGAGTCATACAAGGCCACACTCTCGTATACCGCCCGCCGCACTACCATCAACTACAGTTGTCACAGTGTCATCTAATCTCCTTCAATTCTACTTTCAATGTTCAATAGGTCTATATTTGGACAGAGATTATACAGATCGGAAGCGATATATATAGGAGTTCGGATGATTTATAAGGTAAATATTTGATTTTTAATGGTAAGAGTTAACGAGTAGTAATTTTGCAACATGGATAAAAAGTATCAAGAAACGAATTCAACCAAAGTCATTGGTTAACCCTTGAAACGTTAACTTTTTTTAAATATTAGGTGATGCTGAGTTTTGAAAGAACTCAACCAAAAGCTAAAGTTTAAGTTTATGTTGGGGAGAAATAATGTTGTTTTATATTCCAACAAAAAGAAAAAGAAGAAGCATACTTTGTGAAAACCTTAAATATAATACCTTGAAATGGGGATGGGGGAAAGTGATGAAGGCGAGTGGGGGGAGTCCACCATCGCCATCAAAGGAGATGAGGGCGTCGAAAGTAACGGGTTGGTTCTTGACAGCAGCCTCGATCAAGGAAGGCACGGTGCTTGCGATTTTGTCGGCTGAGAGGTCAAGGGTTAAGTCGACGGGGGAAGAATCCATGGGTTTGATCTCGCCGTTGGTGGACGTGGAGTCGACCAGCTCCTTACCCTCGTAGCTCAACTGCACTGTCACCGCCTGGTACGTGATGTCTACGTTGCTGGTGTTGTTGACGCGGAGGGTGACGCCCATGGTGATCTCCAACTTGACCGAGGGCCGCGGGAACACCTTCACCTTGAGTTTGATGTGCTCGAGGCGGGTGCTGGCAAGCGTAACCACCGGCTGCGAAGGCTGCGCGTGCCATATCAATAAACCCACAATGGCCAAGAAAATGACGATTATGCCGACCAAGATGATGAGGCAGCACTTCCAGCCGCATCTCCGCTTGCTCACGCCGCCGCCGTGGCTTGTTTTTCCCCTAAGTTCAGTTGTTTTCTCACTAATCGCATTTACTTTCCCCGGGCGCACCCTTTTCTCCATGTTGTGCTTTAGCGTAAGTATGTACTCTCGTGCAGGCAATGCAACAAGATGGCCGGCCTCATTTATATAATTTTATATAGGACCTTCATTCCCATTCACTCACTCCCCGACTTCCCCGTCCAAGTCAAATTTGCACTAAACAGTATTCCGTAATAAATCATACAACCTCCGTCCCAAAAAGATTTACACGTTTCAAAAAAATTGTGTCCCACAATCCCTTACCCATTTGTATTAAAAAACCACTTTTACCCCTTACTTTTTCAAACCCTACCTATCACATCATACCTTTTTCCTAATAATCTACACATCACATCCTACTTTTACCCATCACATCAAGGGTATTTTTGGAAAGTCAACACAAAATTATATCTCCCTTAATTTCAACTTTAGTCAAAATGGGTAACACTTTATGAGACGGAGGGATTATTTCTCCATTCCATAAAAATGTTGCCATTTTGAGTTTTTGAAAATTTATGGCAATGATGATTCAGTTGATTTTTCAAAATACTCCTGAAGTGATGAGTAAAAATAGGATATGATTGATATATTTTTTGTAAAAAAATATGATATGATTGGTATGCTAAAAAGGAGGGAAAGTAGTTTTTGGAACCGAAGGAGCATGTCTTTTCCCAATGTAGTACCTAAAACCTTTTATTTCTTAGATAATACTAGAACAAAGTTCAGTAGCGGGAACAATATCTAGTAACGGTGGGCATTTACTTTGAAAAATGTCGAGTAGCGGTAGACATTTACTTTGGACAATATCCAGTGACTGTAGATATTTACTTAAACAATGTCCAGTGGACGTTAAACGGTGCTACTACATTGCAAAATTAAAACATATGATACTATATTGGAAATATTTACTATGTTTTAGTCCTACAAAAGATAAGTTCCCCAAAAAACAATGCCTCGACTAAAAGGGTGATTTACCTAAACAGTACTAAAATATAATGACTTTCTTAATGTAGTACCACATGTTTTTATTTCGCAATGTAGTACCACGGATCATTGTTCACCGGTCACTATTCAAGTAAATGTCCACCGCCACTGGACATTGTTCAAAGTAAATGTCCACCATCAGTGGACATTGTTCCTGGCACTAGACATTATTCAAGTGCGATTTAGGGAATAAAAAAGTTTATTTACTAAATTGGGAAAAATGGCATACTTCCTCCATCCCCGAAAACGTTTCTCTTTTCTTTTTTCATCGTCCAAAAAAAAACTTCTTATTTCTATTAAAAAGTTACTTTTACCTCTTACTTTTTCATACCCAACATATCACATCATATCTTTTTACTAATAATCTACCAATCAAATCCTACTTTTACCCATCACATCAAAGGAATTTTTTGGAAATTCAATACCAAAACACACTTCCCTTGAATCTTTTAAAAATTAAAAACCTCCCATATTTTTAGAACCGGAAAGAGTATGTTTTAATACTATTTGGTATAAATTTCACCGACTAAAACTCTGTGTTCATGGCCACACTCAAACGTTTAATTTGAACGATTCTCCGTTTTTTCATTGAATGTGAACTAATCTCAATATATTCTTTACGTTTGACTATTTTGTCAATTGTTATATGCTTTACCTACAAATTATAGAAGAGTTATATGCATTCTCTTCGTCTCATAATTTTTGTCTAATTTTGATTTTTAAAATCAATTCGGATCTACAATCTTTCAACTCTAATTAAATAAAAATTATATCATATATTAATTAGATAAAATAATATTTTAAAACTATCGTACAAAATTAATTTAGTATATTAATTTTATAAGATATATATTTTTGTATACCGTTTATTTATTTAATACTATATTTAATTTCCTAATAGTCAAAATATGCAGCAATTTGATAAAGTCTACACACACCCTTCCTCTTTAAAAAAACTTGACAATTTGATTTGGAGGGTTCTTGAGGTGGGGCTGGGTTGGGGGCTATAGAGGGGCTGGGGTGCGGGACTTGGGTGCGATTAAGGAGAAAGGAACAATCAATTTAGTGCACGGAGTACAAGAAGTGCTCCAAAAACACATGCAATGGCAACGGTAATGACTCTGTAAGTTAGTGGCTACGGAACCACGAAAATAATAAGGAGAAGTAAAAGAGCTGAAGAATTGTATGTTTCAATGATAATTACAAAGTGTTCACCTCCCCTTATATACATGTAGGAGGGTACATAATAAGGTAACAACATTTATGGAAAATTATGTACAAATATAGAGTCTACCATAAACAATAAATATATTAAATATGTAATATTGATTTAACATATTTAACATGCTACCAACTACGTCGGTGATGATCGAACACCAAGGTTGTGTCGAAATTCAGTGAAGAGAAGCGATGGTAGTCCTTTGGTGAAAATGTCTGCGAACTGAGATGATGATTGCACATGAAGAACTCGAACTTGCTCCAGTGCAACTTTGTCTTGAACAAAATGAATATCTACTTCAACATGCTTGCTGCGTTGGTGCTTGACCGGATTTGATGACAAGTAGACAGCGCTGACATTGTCGCAGAACACAATGGTGGTGCGGCGTAACGGTTGATGAAGTTCAAGAAGAAGATTTCGAATCCAGCTAGTTTCAGCAACTGCATTTGCGACAGCCCTATACTCTTCCTTAGCACTGGATCGAGAGGTGGTGACCTGCCGCTTGGAAGACCAGGAGACCAAGTTTTACCCTAAGAAAACAAAATAGCCTGAAGTGGAGCGTCGTGTGTCTGGGCACCCCGCCTAGTCTGCATCTGAGTAAGCCTGGAGGAGATCTGATGACGAGCGAGAGAGAGTGATCCCATGGGTGACGGTGCCTTGGAGATAGCGAAGGACCCGTTTTAAAGCCATAAGATGAGTCGTCCGTGGAGAGTGGAGGTAGAGACACAGCTGCTGGACTGCATAGGTGAGATCTGGCCGAGTGAATATGAGGTACTGAAGTGCACCAACAAGGGAACGATAGAGAGAGGCATCAGATGTGGGTTCCCTAGAGGTGGCAGAGAGCTTCCCTTTGGAGTCAACCGGGGTCGAGATGGGCTTGTAGTGTAGCATATCTGCCATGTCCAGATTTTCCTGTGCGAACTACGTCTGATGTAAAAAGAGACTGCCATCTTTGGTGCGCTAAACATTAATTCCCAGAAAGAAATTAAGCTCTCCCATATCTGTCATTGCAAACTCCCCCTTCAAGCGATCCGTGATGTGGGATAATAGTGTAGTTGTCGAGGCTGTAAGGATAATGTGTAAAACCCTAATCCGTCCAGGTCTGCAGCCCCTTTGGGACTAAAGTATTTAACTTGGAAATCGTAAAAATTTAAAACTTTTCAAACACTTTTATTTATCATAATAATATTTTTCATAACACATACAATACGGAGTATTCAACAATATTGCGGAAGCGAATTTAATTTTGACATATCATAAATCATTTCAAACTTGTCACATCCATCCCGACAATCTCGCCCCATCTGCCGCCAGGATCACATTAATCTTTCTATTTACCTGCGTGTAGCAAATAAAACACACTACACGCTCAGCGGTAAAGCTGAGTAAGAATATCTAATGCGTCGAACATCCATATAAACTGAATCTAAATTCATAATCAAATCTTTTGATATCATGCACACAAGGTTCGTTTCAGACATTCACAGTTTTGGTATTATTCAGTTCATATCAACACATTTTATTCAATTCAGATACTATTTCAATCGTGCTCTTAAATTATTCTTAATCTAAGGCCAGATCATAACAACGCTCTTAGCTATTCTTAGTCTAAGGCCAGATCATAATAATGCTCTTAACTATTCTTAGTCTAAGGCCAAATCATAATAATGCTCTTAGCTATTCTTAGTCTAAGGCCAAATCATAATAATGCTCTTAGCTATTCTTAGTCTAAGGCCAAATCATAA